CGGCGCAGAGGAGCTGCACGAGCCTATTGCGAAGCAGTGCGCCCGAGCCCACCAAAATGGGCGGGGCATCTGGCTATATAAGCAGGTGCTCGGCATAGGATCACCGATTCATATCGACTGAAGCGACGACAGAGTCGTGCAGCATCATAGCACGGCTAGCTACGCAGTACTCGTTCCCGTATCTCAGGGAACCGAGGTTACGTTAATAACAGAGTACGTTCCCTTTCGATACTTCACTTCGTACTGCATCGTTAGATGCTACGGGAACCTATTCAATCACACCATGCTATGGTAGATGAACGACTTATACGTAATTGTCCAGGGCGTCCAGAAGGGGGCCCTGTAGATTAACTACAATCAAGCAGGCCATAGCCAGAGACCCGGATTCTTTTCGGGGTCAAGAGGAGGCAAAGAAATGGGCTAACTCATAGAGGTCGAGCCAGGCCTTACATAATCGTTCTTAGAGCTTCGCACAGCCTCGGAACTAGAGCGTGCCGGAAGCTAAGCCCAGACGTTAGAACTTCAGCGGGTTCGAGACATAGTCAAACCCAGCAAGGATTAAATCCAGCCTTAGGGCGGGTATATGGTTCCTGGAGCGTTTTGAGCTCAGAGAGACAGTTAAGCAGAAAGGACCTGAGCCTGCAAAGCAGAGACGTCTAGGTTGTAGAACCTGACAAAGGTGGACGGCGAGGACCAGGCGGCCGCCGCACAAATTTCTGCAATGGACACACCACTGGACCATGCCCGTGTTTGACGCATCTGTGAAGATGACCTTCCTTTTGTGCATCATCCCCAGGGGTACGCCCTGTTTGAACCACGAAGGGTCCTTCCAAGGGGCAAGGGCTGCGATGCAGGCTTGATCCACCTTGATACAAAGGCGTCCGTGACGCCAAGCTCGGGATGGAACCAGGGGTTTCAGCCAGTGTTGAAGAGGCCGCATGCGAAGTAGGCCTAACTGCAGTACTGGCGATGCAAAGGCCATAAGGCCGAGCATCCTCTGAAACACTCTGAGAGGAAGGGACGCGCCAATCGTGAAGGCGGTCGTCAGCTGCTGTATAACCAGGACACGTTCTGGTGAGGCTACAGCTCTCATTTGGGTTGAGTCGAAGACAGCCCCCAGAAATTTGATTCGTTGGCTGGGAATCATTGAGCTTTTGTTGTAAATGACCCTGATCCCCAAGCACTCTTAAGTGGTTGAGGAGGGAGGATCTGTGGGCTATCAGCTCGGCCTCTGACTGGGCTAAGACAAGCCAGTCGTCGAGGTAATTCAGAATGCGGATTCCCATCTGTCTCAGAGGGGAGAGAGCCGCATCTATGCACTTCATAAAAGTGCGTGGGGCCAGAGACAGCCCAAACGGCAGCATCGTATATTGATATGCCACTCCCTCAAAGGCAAATCTCAAGAAGCGCCTGTGACAGGGGGCTATCTGAATGTGAAAGTAAGCGTCTTTCAGATCCAGAGAGAAGAGCCAGTCCCCTGGGCGAATTAGTGAGAGGATCTGTTTCAAAGTGGACATTCTGAATGCGCACTTTACTAAGGCGCGGTTAAAAATCCTGAGATCGAGGATGGGCCTAAGGCCGCCATCCTTTTTGGGGACGAGGAAGTAGCGGCTGTAAAAACCTGACTCGCTCTGAGCTGGCGGGACGATATCTATGGCCCGTTTCGCCAGCAGCACAGCCACCTCGGAGCAAAGAACGCAAGCGTTCATGTTCCCTACTAAGGTGGGGATCACACCGCAGAAACGCGGGGGTTCTCGAGCAAATTGGGGTAGATAACCTCGTTTTATAATCCCCATAACCCACTTTGACATGCCGAGGATTGCCTGCCAGGCCTCAGCCCTTGTGGCAAGGGGTTGAATTGGTTCGGGCGGCGGGTCGCTGTGAGGGGACCCAGGGCTCGCCGTGTTTGGAAGAGGAAATTTGCTCTCTTTTTGAGTATGTTTGTGTTTTATTTTGTCCGCTATCACAGCGGTTGTACACTTGGGTGCTAGAACGGGCCCTTTGCATGCAATAAACACATTTTTCCCAGCACCCAGAACTGGATGGGGCGACTGGGAACACATACAAGGCAGTTTGGGGGGTGGTCCGCCACAGCGAGACTTTGCCCTCTCCTCTTCCTTCCTGAAGGATCAGGATGGCTTCTGAGGCGCAGGATCCAGCACAATCTTGGGCCGGGGTCCCTGGCGCTTCGGGAAAGGGGGGTGCTTTGCAGAGTGCAAGCGCTGCCTGGGCTCAGGCCGTGCAGAGGGCTGATTCACAGGAGGCATAGTTTTAACTGCCTATTGAGTCGGCGCCAGCTTAGGGCGACTGCCAGCAGCTGCAGAACTGGAACGCTTCGGCAGGAAGTGTCGCATGGCTTAGGACGACTTCTGTGCAGCCGTGAAACGCTCGGTGAACCCTTCCACAGCAGGTCTGAAAAGACCAGTGGGGGTGACCGGGGAGTCAAGGAAGATAGTTTTATCCGCTTCTTTGATCTCTGTCAAATTCAGCCACAAGTGGCGTTCCAGCACCACCAGGCTGGCCATCGACCTCCCAATGGCCTGTGCAGTCGTCTTTGTGGCGCGCAGGGCCAAATCGGTGGCGTTGCGCAGCTCTCTGAACGCTGCAGAGTGTTCTGGCCCAGACTCATCCATGGCGCGAAGGAGCTTCGCCTTGTACCCTTGGAGCACCGCCATAGAGTGTAACGCAGATGCAGCCTGGCCCGCCGAGGTGTAAGCACAACCAGTGAGGGCTGAAGTCGTTCGGCAGGGCTTCGAGGGATGAGCGGCCTTTGCTTTCCATCTGATGGCAGCGGGGGGGCAGAGGTGTGCAGCCACCGCTTCGTCCAGAGGAGGCAGCTTATCGTAGCCCTTCTGTGCAGCGCCGTCGACCGTAGTGAGGGCGGGAGAGACAGAGGAGCGTAAACGGTCTGAGTAGGGGGCATGCCACGACTTCGTCAGCTCGTTGTGAACCTCTGGGAAGAAGGGCGCAGCTCGCTGAGGAGGGGTCTGGCGGCCTCCCGGCAGAAACCACTCATCTAGGTGGCTGCGAGTGGGCTCTTCAGGCGAAGACCACTCCAATCCGAGCTCCTAGACGGCTTTTGATAGGACACGGATGATCTCTGTGTCCGTACCAACCTGGCGTCGATCGACTCCGCAGATGGCAAGGGTCAGGGTCAGCAATGGAGCCCAACCAATCCTCAGCATCCGAGGCCGCTAGGGACATACTATCATCAAGCGGCTCGTCATCCAATCCCCCAAACGAGACCAGGTCACTCGCGATGGCAGAGGGGCACTGTTCTGTTATGGGAGAACGAGACGGGGGGAAACCTCTCTTTGTGGAGAGAGTGAGGTACACAAGCCTTGAGCCGATGTAAGCCCACTCATATCCGAGCGCTGTGATCCTCTACCCCGCTGTTTTTTCCCCACAGGTTCCTGGGAGGAAGGAAACGGGGGGGCGCGAGGAGCGGGGGCGCTTTCTGAAAAGAAAGCAATCCGCGAGCGCAAAGAGGCGAGACTCATGCTCTCGCAGTGGGAGCATGACGTCTCAGTGAGCGCAGCTTCTGCATGGGATTTCCTCAGACATCGCACGCATTCACTGTGCCCATCATCAGCGTGCAGTGGTGTCCTGGCGCGACATTTGCAACAACGTCGCAGGAAATTTGCTCAGAAATGTGCTCTTTTTTGTTACCACAAGCAGGAAAGCATCAACACAGGCGCTCTGCAGACGGCTCGTGAGCGAAGCGCTCACCGGGGCTGCCTTGAGAGCGACGTGGGAACAGAGCTGCTTGAAGTGGCGATCTGATCCGTTGCTGCAAAGCGGTGCGCTGATCAGTGCTGCTTGAGAGTGGCAAACGGTGAGCAGAGAGCAGAGGCGGCGAGCTGATCTTGCTGCTGCAGAACGGCGGCTTGATCAGCTTGCAGACGAAGGCTTCAAATCTCGTAGAATCAGCGAAGAGCAGTAGATGTCGTCCCTGAAGGAGAAAGAATCAGTGATCCTATGCCGAGCACCTGCTTATATAGCCAGATGCTCCGCGGGCTCGGGCACGCTGCTTCGCTGTGCCGTCATTGGTTCATTTTTGAAACAGTGCAAATGCACTGCTGTGATTGAAAAAAAGGCTTCAGTAAATCGGAGAAAAGGAGTTTCCCGTAGCATCTAGCGACGCAGTACGAAGTGAAGTATCGAAAGGGAAGAGTACATTGACTGAACTGCTAAAAGAGAACCGATGATGGGATGTGCACAAGCAGAGCAGCTGGACTGAGTCGCGTCCTGCTGGGAGACGGTATCACAGTATGTTAAGGGGCGTAACATTTCCGTCACACGCTTGAGGTATTCGGCCAATCACAACGCACTGGATAGCTGGCCAATCAGAGCACACCTCGCTTTTTCAGACCGATGAGCTTTGTTTATGGAAAATAATGTGTTTTTTTTTTACCTTAAACCGCACAAACACATTGCATTACACCAAATATACAACATAATATTCTTTTTAGCAACGTCATATGACCCCTTTAAATATTGTAAAACAAACCTACCACTAATAGTCTCACGAACTTACATCACCAGTCAAAAGTTTGGAATAATTACGTTATTAAAAAGTATCTTATGCACACCAATGCTGCATTTATTTAGGATAGAAATACAGTAAAACTATTAATGTTGTGAAATATTATTGTAATTTAAAATACATTTTTTTCTATTTAAATATATTTTAAAATGTAATTTATTCCTGTGATGCAATTTTTTTCATCCTTCAGAAATTGTTCTAATATACTGATTTACTACTTGTTTATTATTTCTACTCCGTTCAGGCTCTTATTATTATCAGTGTTGTTAATATTTTTGTGAAATTGTGAGCCCTAACATGCGGCGTCACCGCTATCAGCAGCAAGTCCAGGCATGTGTTAAAATCTCATGAAACCTCCCCTTGTTAATCTCAGCAGATTCCTGTAAATTTGAAAGTCATTTATAGCTATTTATGTCCTGGAATCTCAACGCACGCTTTCTAACAATACGCCTAGTGTAGCTTTTCCCATGTCTCTGCAGACCATGAATCAGTGTCGCTCATTGTCCTCCCCCATCCCATAATAGCACACTTCACTTCCATGCCAATCATCTGTCTATACAGGACATGGACTGACAAAGAGACAGCTGGTTTGTTTTACAGTAAGAGCTTCCTGCTGAACTGAATCTATAAGCGCCAAATGAAGATGTATACGGTACATTTAAATTTGTTATTTTATTTTATTTATTCATTCATGTATTTATTTTCAACAGGAATTGTGGTGTGTAACTGGTTGGTCATCTTCAGTGTGTGTTTCACCATGATGTGTACCTTTGACCCCACTGGACGGACCTTTGTGAAGCTGAAAGCAACTCGCCGCCGTCAGCGTAATCTCACAACGTACACCCTCAGGTACAACGCTTAACATTATTCATGCTAGCTTATTTCAGGATACCCACCAATGAATGAAGATTTAAATGCCCGTCTTTTGCAAAGTTGTACAATTCCCCCACCCTTTAATTGTTCATTTATTATTTTGTTATTTCTATTATGTTTTATGCAGCCAATAAGAGTGTAGTATTTATTTTACCCTATTTAAATCCACTCTATAGATTTCTAAGAGTGCACATTTTATGCAGTGTTGCTGTTATTATTGACTAAAAATAAAACTTAAAAAAAGGTAATTGAAATAAATCTGATATAAAATTAAGTATAGATATTAGATAAGAAAGTTAAAGTTGAAGTACTAAAATAACTAAATTAAAAATATAAAAAATAAATATATTAAAAATAAATTAAAGCTAAATAAAAACTATTAAAAAACAAAAATTAATAAAAATGACAAAAGCACATTCAATTATTTAAACTAGTTTAAAAAACTAATTTCAATTAGGCAACATTTTCAAATTTTCATTTAAGTTGAAGTACTAAAAATGAATTAAAAAATAAATGAAAGCTAAATATAGATATTTAAAAACAAAATTGAATACAGATGACAAAAGCACATGAATTACTTTAATGTTAAAATGAAAAGTGAAAATATAAAAATAAAAACAAATTTAAAATAACCATAAATACTTTAATAAAATAAATACTAAAATAATATAATGATAAATATTAAAATAATACTGAATTGTATGCTAATTTTTGCTTACAGTTTTTTTTAAGTAAAATTTAGTAAATATTATGTAAAATAAGCATTTGTTTCATTTTAGCAATATTGTGCTCATCCCATTTTTACACATTAATACATTAACTGGAAACATATTTTTTTGGACTGTCTTGCTTTTAATGTATATAGAAAACTCTATTATGAAGTGAACTCACTTAAAGAGTTATTTAGTATAATTATGCCCAAATAAGTTTTAGAATTTTTATCATATGTTAAAGTAAAAAATCTTGTGTAATATAACTTGTCTTTGTTTGTTTGCTGGTTTTTATTGTATTTGTTATACTTGAAAATATAATGAAAATAGCCTAAGATGCTGACATGGCATTAAATAAAAACATACTACTACTAAACATTAACTAATATTGTGTATTTGTATACCGTTATGTATTTTATGTGTTGCATACACCATTTTTCCACTGCTGTCTCTAGATATGTGTTTCGATCCTTGTAATACCCATCTGTTGACCTATAATTCCTAAATTTGCTCATGATATTTGCTCAGTTGGGTTTTATCTCTTTCAGACACAGGCTAGAAGAAGGTCAAGCCAGCAGCTGGAGCAGGAGACTCAAGTTCTTCATGTGCTGCACTCGAGCAAAAGATACACAATCTGTAAGCCTCCAGCACCAACTCAAATACACACAGATGTCAGTTACTGTGAGAGCATCTCACACATACACACACACAGCATTCTCAGCAGAAGATATTCTCTCTCAGGATGCTTACTCTGAGGTGGCAAGCTTGTTTGCCGAGTTTTTCCGGGATCTGGATATCGTGCCGAGTGACATCATCGCTGGGTTAGTGCTCCTCCGACAGAGACAACGGGCCAAGAGAGCAGCCATCTTGGATCAGGTGTGCTTTATCTTATCAGTAATACTGCTTTTGATTGGATGAATATTCCTCACTGTCCTAATAATAATAATTAAAAAATTTCTCTCTCTCTTGCAGGCAAACAATGACGTTTTAGCCTTTCTGTCCGGGATACCTGTAACTCGCAACACTAAATACTTGGACCTCAAGAACTCGGTATTTGAAGAATGCAATGTATGTGTGTGCTTGTGTCAATGTATGATTATTATTTATGATGCTCTCCTTCTGTTTACAGTCTGAGATGGCCATGTATAAGGAGGTGTGTTACTACATGCTGTTTGCCATGGCAGCGTATGGCTGGCCCGTATATCTTTTAAGACAACCAGCGTGTGGACTCTGCAGACTCGTCAGCACTTGCTCGTACGTAAAAAAAACATTAGATCGTTCTGCAAAGGGGGTCTGAATACTTTCCGTACCCACTGTATATGCATAATATATGTATGTGTGCTGTGTATTAGGGCTGGACAATAATTCAATATGTATCGCAATATAATTTTTTTCAATAACAGTGATATGATTTTTAAACATATTTCTGATATTTTGATATGCATTACCAGTTTCCCATACATTTATTTATGCCGTTTGACTTTGTTGAATAAACATGAGCACTGCACGTTTCGTGCAGAATAAGAATTCTCTTCTGCTCACCAAGCCTGCATTTATTTGATCCAAAGTACAGCAAAAACAGTAAAATGTTGAAATATTTTTACTATTTAAAATTGCTTTCTATTTGAATAGATTTTAAACTGTAATTTATTCCTGTGATGCGCAGCTGTATTTTCAGCATCATTACTCCAGTCTTTAGTGTCACATGATCCTTCAGAAATCATTCTAATAAGCTGATTTGCTGATTATCAGTATTTAAAACAGTTGAGTACATTTTCTTTTCAAGATTCTTTGATGAATAGAAAGATCCAAAGATCAGAATTTATCTGAAATAAAAAGCTTTTGTAACATTATACACTATTCCATTCAGTATAATTTTTATTATTTTTTTGGGAAGGAAATTATAGAAATTAATACTTTTATTTAGCAAGGATGCTTAAAATTGATCAAAAGTGATGATAAAGGCATTTATAATGTTACAAAATATTTCTATTTCAGATAAATAGTGTTCATATCGATATCGGAATTATATCATATCGACCGAAATTAAGAAATATATCGTGATATCAATTTTGGCCATATCGCCCAGCCCTACTGTGTATATTTATTATGTATATATAAATACACACACATGCATGTATATATTTCAGAAAAATATAAATTAAATATATTTATAAATAAATATATATTCATATAAATTATATTATTATAAATATAGACAAATAAATACATGTAAATATTTTCAAAATATATACTGTATGTGTGTGTATTTATATATACATAATAAATATACACAGAACACGCACGTATATTATGCAAACAAAAACTTTTATTTTGTATATAATTAATCACGATTAATTGTTTGATTAATCATTTGATATATGTATGTATGTATATATATATATATATATGTGTAAGGGATTAACCGTAACGAAAAATCTTGGCTGAAGCCAAACAAAATAAAACACTGGGCCGAATACCGATCACAGTTTTCGCGGGGGTTTTTTCTCCCATGTATTTTGCCAGTTTTTTTCACCATTTGTGTGTGTATTTATATATACATAATAAATATACACAGAACACGCACGTATATTATGCAAACAAAAACTTTTATTTTGTATATAATTAATCACGATTAATTGTTTGATTAATCATTTGATATATGTATGTATGTATATATATATATATATATGTGTAAGGGATTAACCGTAACGAAAAATCTTGGCTGAAGCCAAACAAAATAAAACACTGGGCCGAATACCGATCACAGTTTTCGCGGGGGTTTTTTCTCCCATGTATTTTGCCAGTTTTTTTCACCATTTCATAAATTAAATAGCCAAAATGTGCTTTTTACTGTTTTGTCTTGCTTTTCAAAGAAAAAAATCAATAACAAAACCATTTATATATTATTTTATAATATTTATAAATTATATATTTATATTATAATATTTTTAACATTCTAGCAGACATTATACCAACAAAGCACAATTTAAGTTGTAAGTAAAATACTATTTTTGGCCATTTTTGAGACCCCCTTCTTGAATCAGGCATGTATTTTTTACTGTACAAATAAATGCAGCCTTGCTGAGCAGAAGATAATTCTTTTAAAACATTAGAATATATTACAGATCCCAATTTGAACACTATGTGTAAATGTTATAATAAATGTATTATTAGAGCTGTTGTATTTCTAAAGTATTTTGCATTATAGTTTTGTTCAACCCCTTGAATTAAAGCTTAAAGTCTGCACTTCAATTTCATCTTGATTGTTTTATTTTTAATTCTATTCCGGTGGCATACAGAGCCGAAGTTATGAAAATTGTGTTTGTGTGTTTATATTTACATATTTATATATTTTAGCATTTTATAACTGAGAATAATTTACTTTTGTCATTTGAGTGTGTGTGTGTGTGTATATATATATA